GAATAGAAACCTGATATCCAATCTTCATTGGCTACTCTGACAGCCAATGCAAACCTTGCCATCTTTAAGAGACAAGTCAACAAGAAAGGCAAAACAGTCGGCTCAATGTCTGCAGTGCTTTCGCATGGCCAAACATGGAGAAACGTTTTGCAAACGCTTAGGTCGCGGACTCGGCAGGTGTCTCTTCACTGAGACCCTCTAAGAGGTGCATCCTAAGTTTTTCATGGATCTTTGATTTGTGGCAGGCTGCAAGAGTTTGTGCAAGAGTTGTAGTCTTAGAAGGATAAGTCGGATAAGTGGTGCTATGATGTTCTCAATGTGCTTCTAATAATAAGACATTGTTCGCTACTAGGAACAAGTGCATCGCTACTAGTAACAAGTGCCTTACTAGTAGTAACAAGAAGCTAGTAGAAACAATATATAAATTAGAATTGGTTCAAGAATCTAGCCTTGGAGCCTTGGAACCTCACGACACAGAGTCATCCTCATCTTCGCGTTCCAAGGGGGGCAAAGGCAGACCTGGAGTTACGGCAGTAGCCGCACTGAAAACACAACGTTGCAAAGACTGCTGTTCGCTCCTTTCACCACGTTCGCTCCTGCCTGGGTGCAAACCTATAAACTGCTGGAAAACCTGGGTGGAAACAAAGCTTTCTCAATGTGAAAGCGAGTAAACAGCTTGTGTTGGTATCTTGTACAATCGTCGAAACGGCACAAATCATTGCCCTTTCCGGAAAATGCCACTACGGCGTCTTCTCCCAAAGACGGTGTTTTTTGTTGTGACTGGGCGGAAACGGGCTGAAACCAAAAAAGAAGCTGTTTTTAGGCGTCCAAACGACGGATTTTGAGCACATGTTTGCAACCGTTTGCAACCCCTAAAACGGCATGTGTTTTTCATTACGGCATCTTTTGACTCAAAAATGCCTCCGGTAAAAATTTGTGCTGTTTGAAGATCCAAGCATGAATGACAATTGAACTGATACAAGTGAGCTCCCCAAAACCGAAAAGTGTCACACTGCCTAAATTACAGTACCCAATTTGCCACTGCTAGCAATCACCTTTCTCTGAGGCAAAAACATCATGAAAGTTCTCCAGCGGCTTTTTGTCATCGTCATGCACCTCTGAAGCTTTGGATGTGACATACTATTTAGAAACATGTTTCTAGTAGGTTGGAGGCCATCGCTAGTAGGGTGGAGGCCACTACACTTAGGTTGGAAGCTATTAGGTTGGAAGTGAAATTAGCCCAGAGGAGCATCTAGAATCTAGCCGCGCAATGCAACACAAACGGAACCCCGAAACCAAAAAAATAGACTGAAAACCATCACTCCTTGCACGATTGTCCATGTCCCCAAACCCCGAGGACCTTGAGCTCCTCGAAGTTAAAAACTATTCCCACAGAGGTCAACTTTCGTCTTGAAGACCCGCTGTCATCTCTTTCCTGGCGACTTTCGTCCTTAACATTCTCACTCTTTCTTACTCTGTTTGCTTCATTCCAATCTCGCCTTCTGGAAGGCCAAATCATGCAAAAAAAATACATGGAACGAAAGGTCGGTCACGCCATGCGCACCACTTGTCCTGCTTGAAGAGCATCACCCCAACCTGCTGCAGAGATCTTCGCGTCAAAATCACATGATTCTGCACCTCGAGGCAACGCTCGCAGCAGACGGCGCGCCAGACGCGCACAACGCCGTGCGACGAGCGACGTCAGAGGCGAAAAATTGAGTTCTCCACGCGCAGAAGGTCTTGCAAGTCCATGGCCCTGTCGAAAAAGGAAGTTGAAGGCTGTGATAGGTGGTTGAAGGTCGTCTGTGTTCATCTTCATTCACCTATTCTTTGCTCAGCAGTGTGTGTTTCACATAGTGAATTTAGCTGGGCATCCAACATGGCGTCTTCATCCATGAAATTGGCTGCCTGAGCAAAATCCAGCCAGCAGGGGTGAACGAACCAGAGTCGTGAAAAAATGACAAGCTAATCTACGTCGAGATGACCTGAGCCAACATCACCGACAGACAAGCTGTGGCAATGTGAGGATGCCAAAATGCAGGTGAGATGATGACATGTTTGGAGAACAATCAGATTTGGAGCGTTAAAAATGAGCGTGTTGAAAGAGAAAGTCGTAAACAAAGTGAAAACCCTGCGGCAACAGGTTGAGTGATACGATGATGACTTTATGTGTGCGGCACTTACAGTTGATGAAGTAACATCAGATTGATGAAGCTAAAGCTGAGTTCAAAATGAAAAAGCATACGAAGCAGCCAGTGATCTTGCCTCCCACATACGGAGGGATCAAGAGAAGTTTAACCAACCGAGGAGATACAAACCTTACTACTAGCAGCAAGAAGCTACTAGTAACAAAGGGCATCGTTACTAGGAGCAAGGGCATCGCTATTAGTAGCTAATTTGCTACTAGTAACAAGAAACTACCCGTCGTTGAGTTCTTTGTCACATTCCTTGGAGGAAGAGTCTCCAGTGACTCCAGCTAGCAACAAGCAGTTTTGGTGATACCTCTTTGACGCTCCTTTAGGAATGTCGACAAAAGCAGAGTCCAACTGTGCTAAAGGATATAGCCTCTAACCTCATCTAACCTCAGAGTGTTTATAGGAAGATACAGGAGTCACTATATTGGGGCACTGTTGATACACCAAGTGCATGTTTCCCTGCCTTGACAATAGCTTCCAGCCAGCCGCGCAGTGAGTGTTGAAAGCTGTCGTACAGTTCCTGAAAGATGTGCCATGACAGTTCTATCAAGAAGCCTTCATTTTGCAGCACTGCTTTGGTTTCTTTTGTTTGTTAATGTTCCCTTTCTTCGTGTGAAATCTTCACTTTTCTTTGCTGCTTTACCTTTCTTTGTGTTGGAAGCCTTTTCACCCTGCCTGCGTCTTCTCAAACTGCTTTGGATCGCAACCAAAGACTACCCGACCAAGGCCCCTCAAAAACTGGCGTTTTCTTGAATTCAAGTCGAAATTATGCTGCATTGGCCATGGGTCACAAACAACCGAGGCGTCTAACGACCAGACTTCTGCGTCAATTCCATTCAAAAGGTTCTCTCAGGTCTCAGTTCATTGCTCTCTGTACATCTCTCTCAGCTGGACCCAATTGTTTTCATAGTGGATCACAGTCCTGCACAGCACAACAAAGTTTAAGAAGCACAACCACAGCCCAGCAAACCGCCCAGAAGCGACTTGACACAGTACAAACCACGCTCATTCTTTCAGGGTCTTTTCTCGCGAGCTCCAGAGCTTCATGAGCGCGAGTCTGATTCAGCAGAGAAAGACACGACACAGTCTGAATAGATCTGAGAGTTCTATGACAAAGAGGTCCGTCTTGCTCATTTATTTGTCTTGCTGATGCTTGTCACAAGCTGGCAAACGTCCAGCTGCCATGCCACATACTGTGCCTGGAGCATCTGTCAACACCTCCCACTCGGGAGATTGTCTTGAGAGCACAACTGCCGAAGGAAACGGAAAATTGAGACATCCCAGTTCCCGCATTTCCGGCCGACCCGTGTACCAGTGGACGAACGCATCCACCAAGTAGCGGACATTGCTACGAACTGAGCACGCCAGGCGAACACCAGCTTCATCACAGACACGCCCTGCTTGTAGCGCAGAGTACGTGCTGGAAAACTCTGCGACGATGACCTTTCACCAGGAAGATTGGAATATGCCATGAATATTTCTACTGGCGAACGCCAGCTTCCAACTAGTCCCTAACCGTTAACCTATCTTCCAACAGTTTCACTTCCAACCAGCAAAAAGTAGGCAAATCTCTCCGACCAGGCCTCCGGCACATGCGCTTCGATCGCTAACCGGACGGCCTCCATCTCCATTTCGCTAGCAATCTTCGCTTGGACGTAGCCAAGGTCTTCACTGTGAAGACTGATGTCTGCTAGGTGCCCAGAGAAGTCCACCACAAGAACCTTCACAAAAGTGTTGCAAACATATAAAGTAAGTTGTGGTGGAACAAGACAAAGCATGCTTTGTTTCACACATATTTGGTGGAAAGTACATCCATTTGTGCCTGTCGATAGATCCGTCTCAAACTGATGAATGACGACAGGGACAAATTCCGAACAAAAATCATCGGATCGAGACACCTGAAACTGACGTGACATGCCAATTGCAACATCACGCAAAAGCGTCGTCTTCCCGCAGCCAGCTGGGCCCAAAACAATCGTAGATCCCTGGTCGAACAAGTCACGAGCTTTCCGGTGAAGGCTTGACAAATGGCCTTACAGCAAAGGTAGCAAATACACAGCACGACTTGATTTGATAGGAGGAACTTGGCAACATGAATCAAAGTGAATTGGGAAGCACAGAATCAATGAATCACAGACTTCCTTTGCAGAATCAAAGGCTTCTCAACATCGTCCCAGCAGCGGCCAATGTGCACAGTGACTCTGCCAATTCGCTGCGAATCGCACAGACCGAAACTGGCCTTGTGGGGTGACCCTTTGATATGCACTGAGTCCACTGACTCCTTCCAACCAAACCTTAGATCCGGACACAACTGTACAAAATCGTCCAAACTGGGATGTTTGACAGATATTTGCAGAACTTCGACCTGCTAGATCCTGCTACAATCAGAAACATTCCTTTTTCGTTTAGAATATCTTATGTCAGATTAAGGAAGACGACCAAACCCGTGTTTCCGACGACAAGGCGCCTCTTTGCCAACTCGTCCAAATCACGTTGCGAGATCACAGTGGCTGGCAACTTGCTTTGTTCCAGCCAACCAGTACATAAGGCAACCTGCTTGCAGACTCTGAACATCAAGGGCTTCATGCGTGGCGAAAAGAAACAGAAGTTGGTTCCACCGGACGATGCGGTGAACAAGTCTCCAGCCTTCATGGGAGCACCTGATTGGAAGACAAGTCTATGGGCTGAGGAAAAGAGCTCCGTGAAGTTCATTGGTGCTGCTGCAATGCGTGACGGCAGCAGCATACTAAAGGCTCCTGATGGTCCGAATCGCAATCTAATCGACATGAAAAGTCTCTAGACAAGATTCATCCATTGGTCTAGCATGATGCAAGTTCTGAAAAGACTATGCTTTGCGCCAGCTGATCAGGTCCTCCAGAATCGCCAGCATCTTCTTTTTGACCCTCGGCATCTTGGTAGTGGTGGCCAGCCCTTGCGCTTGCCTCAGGTTGAATATATAATTCATGCAAACCTGATTTGTATCCTTGTAGATGTTTCTTTTTGTTGCGTCACGACATGGAAAAGACTTGTGCACATTGCCAATTTGTTTCTGCCAAATGGCGCTTGGAGAGAGCCCTCTTCCCGCTCCAAAATTCTCAACCTCCTCCACCTGTTCTGCCCACTCTTCCGCCGCGTCCGAATCTCCTGCAACTTTCCAGGGGTTGGCGATGAAGGCTAGCAGGGCCAGGTGAGAAAGTTTCAGACTTGAAAACTGACAGACAGGGATCAATCATGCTGGTAGACCAGAACCAATTGTCTTTCACGAAAACTAGCATCAGCCAGCTGGAATCGCCTACCAAGTGAATTGTCCACCGGAGATGGCTTTGCCCCTCGGAATCCTGGCCAACAGCATCCCTTAAACGGGCGGTTCGGTGGTTCCGCCGGGCTCCTTGGGATCCTTCCATGGGCTTCGTAGCTTGGTCTTCCCACCTTTCAATGCAAGTGACACGCTTTTTAGTGCTTGACACAACGCGAAGGGACGGCAGCATGAAATGGTCAGCAACAAGGTCACTTCTTCGGTGTTTGACCAATATGTCAAGCATGTCAAACACAGAGCCCAAACATCGGAACATGCCTGACAGAATCACTGGCCGCACTGTGATCCTGGCTCAAAAGGAGCGCTAAGTTTTCTTCTGGCTTTGCTCCCGTACATCGTATCTAAGGCCAAGATCAAATGCCAATATCTTGGCTGGGAGATATGACATTCTCAAACGAACGTTCCTGACATAGAAAACAATGTTTCTTCACGCTTCCAGTCCTCGCTGTCGGTACCGTCTCTGGCTGCGACGCCAAGATTGCAGCTTTCTTCAGGTACGATTGCTTCTGAATCTTCCGCGGATGGTGGGTGGGCTGCTCGAGTTAAGTGGTTTTTCTTCCATCTGGTAGCGGAGCTGCTTTCCTTGACCAAAGACACCATCTTGCCATGATCACTGGTCCACAAAAAGAAATCTTGGGGCCGTTCTCGCACAAAATTTTCAAGATCGCAGGGATCTGGGAAATAGGCCCCGCAAACCTCATCATGCTCCAAGAATGACAGTGGCACGCTTTCACCTCCTTCCTCGCGCAAGCGGCATGATATTGCCAGTTTGGCAGAGGCTGCATCAGTTTGATGGAGGCCCCCAATGCTGTCCCCTTTGTTGGGCACGTCTTGGACCAGATCATCTCCAACTCTTTCTGTCTCGAACCGATGCCTGGCACCATCGGCGAGAGAAAATACGTGGCCGAACTCGCTGCCAGACAACTTGAAAAGATATGGTCGCTGCGTCAAAAAAGAGAGCAAAATGCGGCAGGTGTCAGAGTCGTTCGGCAGATCTGCGTATTCTTGAAGCGCAAAAAGTGAAAGAGACTGCCCGTTGGGGGCAAGGGCATTTTGCAAAGTTGCTTCCAATGTAGATTCAGTGTAGCCACCCAAGATCTCCGTCTCACATTCACCTGTCCCCAGCAGCCCCACCAATGGACCAAAATTTGGATGTTACGATCGTTGTATACATAACTCAAAGCTAGTGTGGAAATTTGACGTTCGATGATAATCTGATATACATGTGTATATATATGTATATCATGTTGTTTTATTTTCATATTATTGATTTACATCTTTGTGTCTGTAAAAGCCTAGTGCGCAAACAGACCACAGCGCTGAGGTGCAAAAGAGCTACCCTGCACACTCTGGAAGTCTTGCGTTTCCTCTGGCTCGTCATCCTGCAGGCATGAAGCAGCAAAGTCTGAAAACCAACTTAAACAGTGAAGGAACAATATGTTTCACAGTGTGCCCACGCGTGCGTGTGTGTGTGTGTGTGCACCTTGGATTCAGAGGCTACCTTTGGGTTATATAGGTTTATTACTCTATAGTGCAGGGGGCACAGGTGTACCTGCTGAAGGTTGTGGCTTTTGGTAATTACGTTCTTCTTTAGGCTCCAGGCTCTTTAGGTGAGATTCTCAGGTCGGCAGTCACGCACTCGCCGCTCGTTCTTGCCAGCTTTCTCCCTCGTCTTTCACCTTGTACTTTGAACTTGGAGGAGTTGAACTTGCAGGATTTGAGGTAATTGATCAGACCGCATTACGTAATACCTTCTTCAGGGCAAATGGCTGCGTCAGGGTGTACCCCAAGAGTGCCCCCTGTCACCTTGCCGAACAAGGTTTTGTCTTTTCTCCCGCCGGAGACAGAGCAGTCCATAGCGGACGGAATAGGCCTGCGCTAAACGTAAGTTAAGCTTGGTCGACTTGGATAGAGTTTGAGCCGGCTGAACGCCGGAAGGTGCCTACAGCATGCGGAGACAATCATTTTGACACGGCAAGAGTAGGCCGCAGCGGCCGTAGTTTGGTCCGTTGGGACCGTCCGGGCCTTATGCACACACACGGCGCTTCACCCACACCAAACGAGACGAGGTTTTGCTAGGTTATCTTTAAGGAGGTTTGGCCTCATTTGTTTTCGGCCCTCTCATCGGTTTTCCCTTTCATCTTCCCCCTCCGCACACATCTCCTTTGCTCTTTCTTTCATGCCTTTTGCGCCCTCATGTCCGAACATTTCACTCCTTTCACATCGGTCCGGCCCTCAGCGAAAAGTTGCACTTGTACAGAAAAATTAGGTTACAGGCGGCCCAGGTTTTTGATAATGAGGTTTGGCTCATCGGCTCATCGAGAAAGCGGAGATTGATCACCTCCGTGTACCTGCTGAAGGCTGTGGCTTTTGGTAGTTACGTTCTTCTCTAGGCTCCAGGTTCTTTAGGTGAGATTCTCAGGTCGGCAGTCACGCACTCGCCGCTCGTTCTTGCCAGCTTTCTCCCTCGTCTTTCACCCTTGTACTTTGAACTTGGAGGAGTTGAAGATGTAGGATTTGAGGTAATTGATCAGACCGCAGTGCGTCATACGCGTTTTACTCAGGCAATTTTCTCACTTAGGCTTCTATTGATTCATGCACACACAGCAGGGGCCAAATCCCACTTTGCAGTCGATTGCCCAACGAAGAGGGCTGCAACAGCAGCTGAAATCTGGAAAGGACGCTGCCCGGACACCCCTTCATTTACAGGCGGCACAGAAGCTTTTGTCGTTATTGAGGACTTCATTTCACAAGGTTGCTTTCCACAGGTTCCGGTCGTCGTGCACGTCTGCTACTGCGTCCCCAGCTTCACCGCAACTAGCACTAAAGGGATACTGCATCCCTTGCACAACTGCCCTCTCATCAGACTCTTTCTCAAGTTTGTTGTCCCAGCGTCTCGCATTGCGGTATGCTGTGTGATCCCCTAGTGGGCAGCGTGTGCGCGCGCGCGCGAAGCCCTTGGAGTCAAGGGAACCTTTCCTTTTAAAAAGCAGGGGGGGGCAACCCCACATTGCTGCAGTTGTGGCGGATATCCGGAAGTGACGCCTTCTGGACGTACCTGCTCAGTTTGTGGCGCTTTAGTCACATCCCAATCTAGCTTTCAGGCTGTTTGGGTGGAGGTAGGTCGGCAGACTCTGCACGTCTTCGTCGTCCGTGTCGGTCACTCGGCCGTCGACCTTGAACCTTGGTGGAACTTCCTTGGAGTTGAGCTTCAGAGTTGACTTTTGGGTAACCCTGGACTTCACGATGCTCAGACCGCTTTGCATACCTAGTCCCTGGTTTCCTCAGGCGTTCATACCTAGGTGGGCGTGTGGCAAATTGCTTTCAATTCAGTATATACGCAATATCCCGAGTGTGTGTCTGTCTGTGTCTGCTCAAAATGCGTTTGAGGAGGTCCTTCTCGACCACGTCCAGGTTCACAGTGGACGATCCATTCAGCAAAGACACGCGCGCCAGGTGTTCTAGACAATCCAAGCAGCTGGTGAGGCTGACCAAGTTGTCTGTCGCGTCCGAAGAAACTGTGAAAAGATAAGGTTTTTGCAAGAGATACTCCTTCAAATCGATGCGGGGCATGGTCTCTTGCAAGTAACCCACTTCGCCTAAGTATCGAATCTCCCCAAGGGGGAGAGATTTTAAATCTCCGCAAATGGTCTTTCCCAGCTCTACATCCCAGAGGCTTGGAGTGGACGCAGGAGAAAGGGCTGCAAGAGCGAAGCTCATGCTCGGGAAATGGTCTTTCCGGTTGTGCGTGAAGAAGGTGACCGAACAGCCTTCATTCGTGGTTGAGAACTTCGGTGAACTCTTCGGAAGCTTGCTCCGCCTCTTCTTCACCCTTACTCTGACCTCCTTCTGGGTAAGCTTCTCAAATTCACGTAGTACCCATAATCGTCTGTTGCCTGACCACGCATAGAGAGTGTTGTCATTTTCCAAGACGTCAATCTGAGGGATCTGGTGCGTGAGCAAATTGCCATCAAGCAGTTCCTTCAGCATGGTGGCAACAAGGCGTTTATCTTGGAAAACTACCCTGATGCTGTCATGGCACCAGCGAATTTGCGAAACGGGTACCTCGATCTCCCCACAAATGGGCTCTGCAGTTGCAACAGGCACACTCGGAGTTTGCGCAGCTGCTGTGCCTCTTGCCTTTTGTTCAATCGCCTGCCAATGACCATACAAGCACTTCTCACGGAAGTTGCACATTGGGATGGTTTCAGGCTTCACATGCTGGCGTCCATCTTTGTGATCTTTTTTGGCAGGACAGCAGTCCCTCAAAAAGTAGCAGCAGTATGATGCTAAGCTGATGGTGTTGCCCTCAAAAACCAACAGACCGTCATGAGCTTGGCAGAAGGCCCTCGCTCCTGCATCTGAGATGATCGCCTTATGAGAAGGATGAAGCTTGTAATACTCACCGAGGATGCTTCCATGTATGGAACCGCCCATCTGATGGATAAACAATGCCAAGTTTGCTGCAATCGAGCTTGGAGTTGCCTGGCCCTTACCCGTATTCTTGCCGGTGCTCTTACCGGTCCCTTTGCCAGACCCCTTGCCTTTTAGACCTTTCGCCTGTGCCTCAATCTTCGCCCAGTGGCCTGCAGTGCACTGCTTGCCATGCTGACAATGAGCTGCACCTGTTGGAACCTGGCTGTGCAAAAAGCCCTGGTGGGTGGACGTCTTCTCACAGCGGCCCTGCAGAAACAAGCAGCAATGCTTGGGCAGGTACAACTTGCCCCCACCTCCATCATAAGCATAATGCAAAAGCCCTGGATGTTCTGCACAGAAAACCGGAAGCTTATTTATGACGCTCTTGTGGCTAGGATGTTCAGCATAGTACTGGTGGAGTTGACAAGCAAGCATGGAACCTCCTCGGTGTTCTCCCAGAAAGATTGCAAGTTGAGCAGCAACTTGCATGGATGTCGCAGATATCAGACTGTTGGAGGTGGTGGAACTAGAAGCACGTGCTGGAGACACTTGGCTGGGCATCTTGACCTTGAGCTGCAGGTGAGGGCCGTCTGATGGGCCAACGGAGATGTGGTCAGGATACTCTTTGCAGAAACTCACCACGTTCTTTATCAAAGCACGATACGAAGGGTGCTTGGTATAAAAGCCAGCAAGCTGGTTAGAAGTTATGATACCACCTTGCTCCTGAATATGCTTTATCAAATCGAGGAGAATTTGTTGCTTCTGAGAGGATGATGTAGCCATGGTCAGTCAAAGCAGTCACAGCAACAATCACGTCTCAAGGACACAGGAGCACAAAGCGCCACTACCTCTGCAAACAATGTGAATACACGACCTCTTTCTTCAGCTCGTCACTCAAAGTGCACATTGCTCCGGGATGACAACATTCGCAGCCTGTTGAAGCAAACGCGCTGCAAACGAGCCAAGCGGCTGCGTCACGTACCTCAGATCTCCAATTCTGGGACAAAGATAGAGCGAGATGACAAAGGGAAAGCAAAGGCCTTCCACTGAGGCCTTTATGACTTTATGAAGCATTTGTGTGAAACCTGTCATTCATGTTCTGTGTTGTAGCAGGGCACAGGCTGGCTTAAGACAGTAAGCAGTGGGGTTAGCGATTAGCTTTCTGTCCAGAAAGACTTCCTTCAAATCTACATCGAAGAAAACGATATAGAACTTTGAAGGTGTTGGAAGGATTCAAAGCCCATTCAAGACCCGATGTGGCCACTTCATGTCCTTCTGTAGCGAAAGGAGCAGTACAGCGAATGCCTCACAACACTGTGCATCGAACCATGCACAAAAAAGCAGGATTTGATTGTCGCCTTTGGGAAGACGAGGAACACGTAGAGTATGAGCTTCCTATCAGAGAAACATATGCGACACTCCAAAAAATCCAAAAGCAGACCATTCAAGCCACAAACCACAAAATTAAGAGTATCATTCTCACTTTGTCTCCAACTTATGTACACCAAAACGGCCAACAAAGACGACGGAGACAAAGCGCATTGTCCTTTTGACGTCTCAGTTGGCTCCGTGTGCACCTTAGGGTTGGAAATTGCCAGTGGCGCAGCAATGCAGCTTCCAGCAGCTTTCAGCCAAGGATGGGACGAACAGCAGAACCTGCACTGCACTGGCTGGGTCAGCAGCACAAACATCAACAAAGCAAATCAAAGCAAAGCAGGCCATTCTGGTGAGTTATGTCCAAGATCAAAACCCCTTGAGACTTTCAAGTACTTGCAGTCGTTCTTCCTAATCGAGTTGATATTCAAGATTGTTTTGGGCCAAGTAGCAGAGCCAGGAGCTGAATCCATGAGCACCTGAGCAGGACTAGAACTTCAGAAGGGCCATCGCAAGGATAGTGTGCGGGTTCACATAGTCAGTTGCCAGTTTGTGATACTGATGATGCTTGCCTCCTCCGCACTTGCCCGAGATCGAAAATCCACCTTGCATATTGAGTTTTGAGGCTTTTCAAAAGCTTGGAACGATCCTACACTGCCGTGTCGTTGTCATATGCTATATGGGGTCCAGCTCTCGCTTGTTCAAGACAGATACAAAAAGCATTCTTGAAAAGGTCCACCTCAAGCCGCTGTTTCAAGGAGCAGCGTGCATTGTAGAAGAGCTTGTTTCTGGCACCGCTCCTGTGCTCGCATGCACACAATAGCTTCTTGTTACTACTAGTAAGGCACTTGTTACTACTAGCGTGGCACTTGTTACTACTAGCGTGGCACTTGTTACTAATAGCGTGGCACTTGTTACTAATAGCGTGGCACTTGTTACTACTAGCTTCTTGTTTCTATCAGACCAAAAACAGACTTCAAAACCTGCATAATCGCTGCACACGCTGTTCTCGCCTCTTGTAAGGTGTGATGATCGCCCCGGATCCTGCCGCAGCCTCCGCAGATTTGTTGCTACTAGATCAAAGCTCCAGCATGCTATTTGAGGTACACTCCTCGCCACTGAATACAGATTGTTCCTTCTCCATCAATATATGGTGTATGCATGCTTCATCATGCTTCACTTTTCTACCACTGAGCAAAAAAGCCGTCCACAAGATAAGTTCGCGCTGTGAAAGCTGCAGCTCGAACAAACATCTGTGCTGAGACAGCACATGTGACCAGCTGAGGCCAACGCCGCCACCATCTGCCCACTTCTGCGAAGGCAATGTGCAACATTGCGATATTCACACAAATTGCATCATTAAGCCAAACATGCTTTCCCGGCTGAGCTCTGGGCTGGGACATCTTGTGAAAGGCGCACACAGCACGGTCAAGTCATGCTGCAAGACACTTCTATCGGTTGCAAGACACGTCGATTGAAAGGTCACATCCATTGGTCTGTCCGAGTCCCACCCCACATGTCAATATGCTCTGAACTCTTAGAAGATCGCTACGTGACCCGTAATCGAACCTGCAGAAGAGAGCCAACTGCACTGCTTTCGGCTTTCTTGTCTAACACGCTGGAATCATATGCGGTGTGTGGATTGAATAGAAAAGCTGCACAGGTGCAACAGCAACAAGAAATTGGCTGTGAAAAAAAATGAGGCAAGGTTGCCAATTGACTCACTGGGGAGTCAAGGTTGCCTGCGGCGTCTGCAACGTGGCTTTTCACATGCCTAGACTGTCCGCACCGAGACTGAATTCACAGCTGCTTCGCTGTATGTGAAACCCAAACGCATTGACAACCACCTCGAAGTCATGATATACCACAAGCTGACAAGCTGGAGAAGCGAAGCTTTCATGTCTGAGATCCAAAACAAGCTCTCGTCTATGTACACAATCTCGATGTTTATGTAGACCATGTGCATTTGCACTACTAGAATAGAATCGATCGAACGATAATACTATTTTTGTGAATTGCAATGACCTCCATACGCCGCGTACGCTTGGATTCTGTAACATGACTCGACCTTTGGCCGAGCCAGGGAGGTGAGACTCATGGAGGTGACCTCACCTGCGAGAAGCGATGAGACAGAGACGAATGGATCGTCTTCTTTGGAATAGGATCCTAGTAGCGAACAGTGCTCCGAGTAGTACGGCCAGGAGCCCCTAGTAGCGTCTTTGTTCCTAGTAGTGATGCCAGGAGCCCCTAGTAGCTTCTTTGGAATAGGATCGTCTAGAATGGATGTCTCAAAGTTGCGAAAGTGCAAAGAATGGAAAAGCGCCTTGACCCTCGGCTGCCTGGTCTGGACACCGCTGAAGGCCTCAGGCATGGAGCAACCAGGACTGTGTTCTTAAGTCGATTCCCACGTGTTTCCGTTCTTTTTCGAAAACAACTTATATAAAAGCAATGGCCTCCAACCTACTAGCGATGGCCTCCAACCTAAGACCGATGGCCTCCACCCTAATAGCGATGGCCTCCAACGCATGTTATTTGGTTTTTTCCGAAAACAACTTCCAAAGGTGTTTGCTCCATTTGGCTCCCTAAGCTGTTGGCGGGCGGGATGGCAGTGCCACACCACGCTCTTGGCAGAGATTCTCAAAGAGCGGAAGAACATCCTCCATGAGTCGGTTATGAACAACTCAACAAACAGTAGCAGACAAAGGAGGCAAAGGAATTGAACCAAAAGCGACCTTGAGCTATGTCAACTTGTTGTTCAAGTAAAATGAAGGCAGGCTCAGAGAGCTCCAGTCCTCCGTGTAGTCTTGGAGCGCATTGCTCAAGGCAAAGAGCATGCTCTGATTCTGCTCCCGCACTCCTCGTGCCTTCCCAAATCATGCTCAGAATTCCAGTGGAGGATCTGTAACAAAACACAACCAATTCAATGCACTTTCTCAAATATCCAAGTGTCCTTGGGATGAGTTATGTATATACAGCTCAATTGATGCTCTTGTTTGAACAGCTAGAAGGTCTGAAGAGCGTCCTGGATGTCTACAGCTGCCGGCGTCTCGGGAGCCAGATCCACACCAGCCTGGCGTGGGCGTTTGCAAATCAAGAATCCTTAAATGCTCTCCCACAAGAAGCTACTAGTAACAAGTGCCTTACTACTAGGAACAAGTGCCTTACTACTAGGAACAAGAAGCTACTAGGAACAAGACACAGCTTGCCAACTTTTTGAAGAAAACATCACGCCCATCGCCGATCACCCGAGATCCAGACGTGAAAATCTCTACTTTCAAAATCCGATTTCTTTTTGGCTCGCCTGGATTGCCCGAGCTCGAGCTGCTTCCAGCGCCTGATCAGCGAATTCCGACGATGTGCAGATCGGAATGCGGGACGGAAGTTACCAAACGGTAAACTTGACCTTGCTGTGAATTCACGTGTGTCAGGCGTTATGCCTGCTCCGCACGCTGTGTCTTGGCTTGTTGGCCCTCCACATCCTGCCGCAGCACCTAAGCGTGCAGTCGCCAAAAGGAAGCGATCGAGATCTGGGGGAGCATTGGGCATTCGGACTAGGAGCAAATCTAGGAGCAACCGGCAAACTGCACAGAATGCCGTTGCCCTTTGCGGTGAAAGAAAGAATGTAGTCTGAGATAGCTAGACGTGGTCACCTAGACGGATGAGTCGGAGTAAGAATCCAGACGATTCCCAGGCAAGAGTTTGTCTGTAAAGCGCCCACATTTGCACAAACCAGGAGCTAGCTGCTAAATTAAAGAAAGAAAGAAACAGCAGGTCCCGTTGCTCAGGGTGTCTGAAAGCATAAGAGCATATGGAGACATATGAACTCATGTAGACTGGAGGGCTTTTCTCATGTCCTTTGCATGTGAGTCTTGTCACATGCTCAAGGTCCTTAGAGTCCTTAGAAATACCATGTGTATGTTCCGCCAAGCAGCGTCCCGGGCAGCAGTGAGCTCATTGACCTGAGCCTGGAAAAATATGTGAAAATTGAATTCATACATGCCAAAAGTAACAGAATCCTGTTCACCATATCAATTAATCGGGAATGACAAGATTGTATGGAGGGCAGAAAACCCAGCACATCGCTTGAAAGTATTGGACTCGAGAAGTTCAAAACATAATTGCAACAGTCCTCCAACTGTTGCATGGAGCGCTGCAGCTCCTGCAAGGATCGTCACTTCCGTGAGCATCCGTGCCATGTTTGCCACAACCATAACAGTCCTCATACCGCTGCACATCCTCCTGAGCCTGGCAACCGGAGTCTTGGAGTGGTGTCGTGAGCGCACTGGGGATTCCACCAAGTTGGAATACGAGTGGAAAGGAAATGGCCTCCAACCTACTAGCGTCCTTGCTCCTAGTAGCGCCCCTAGTAGCTTCTTGTTCCTAAAGCTCCTAGCTCCAAAGCAAACAAACACACCCCAACCTCCTGCTCAATCTGCGACAGGACCTTCAACGAGGCGGTCGACAGAGTCTTGCTCACAATGTGCTCCGGCAGATAGACAAAGCAAATCAATTTTGACCTGTGCCAGCTACACACTGTGCCTTCTTCTTCTTGAAAAGGACCTCATTGGCAGCACGCGACTGCTCCTCTAAGGTTTGCTTCTCCTGCCCACAAGACCAAGAAAAGCAGCTGCGCTCGCACCCAAAAAAACCGTTCACAGTCAGAACTTGCCTCGAGTTCACTCTGATTCTGCAAGTTGGTGGTCTGGAGGTTCTCTTTGAACTTCTGGTTCCGTTGCACCAAATGCCCCTCGCTTCGCAGCGAATGCGAAAGCGTGCTGAAGCAAGCTACCAGAATGCCAAGGCAGTCTGATGAGATCAAATCTAGGAGTCCCTGACCAAGGTGTTCTCCAAGGATCGGATTTCCTGCACCATTTCGGATGTCAAAAGGATGTCATGCCAAGATGTCACCAGTTCGCATCTTCCAATCCTTTTCGGCCCGGCGGATCTTGTCATCCAGCTCATCACCCTTACGTTGCAGCTCCTCCTTCTCCTGAGCTGCCTAGCGCAAGTGAACCGATCGGGTGCAAAATGCTCCAAAACATGGGTCATGTTCGAAGTTCCCCAACAAATCTCTGTCCTTATCAAAAATTACAACAATAAAAGGGACTGGTGTCCAAAACAAAAACTGCAAAAAGGTGTTGTTCTCCGCTTCGTCGAACTCCGTTGTTCGAATTAAAGAACCCCGTTCACCTCGGTCCCCGACGAAAAATGAGGCGAATGGGTCCCAGTTGGTCGCAGTTGGTCTTTGTTTGCCCGCTTTTCGCAAGAAGACGGAAGCCTTGATCATGTAATGAGCTTGGCTCTTCTGCTCCTCTCCATCTTCTTTCTTCACCTGTCTCAACTTTGGCAGAAGCTGGAACTGATGAGTTAATATGATTTGTGATGTTTTTTTGTGCAAAACAAATGATGAATAAGAAGGAAAACACATCAAGCTCCAATGCCAGAATCATTCTCCATCAACCCCGTCCAGTGCGGGTCAAGGTTGGAGAAGCCATGGTTCAGCAACAATTTGCATTTATGCTTAGGAGGCCCTGTTCCGAACACACCATCAAGGGTTGGACTTACCTCTGGTGTCGATGATGCTTACTGATGTTAATTGCATTACTGAGATCGTGATGCCTTGTTGAAACTGCTTAGAGGAGGAGGAGGAGGAGGAGGAGACGGAGACTGATTGTATTTATCTTCTGGTCACATGTTGCCAACTCCTGAAAAGAAACTGCTTTTTGAAGCAAATGCATAGAGCAAACCTGAAGTGGATTCAGACTTCTGACTCCGGCTTCCAAACATATTGTTTGGATCCATTGACCTGCCTTGCACATGACATTGTCATACTTGCTCTTCCTGACAGAGCAGCTGGAGCAAAAGCGAGCTTGAACATAATTCAGCCTCTACATACTGCGTAGACTTTGTACTAAACCCATATCGAAAACGGCAATACCATGCTGCATCTTGTCTGCCAGGGCACAAGGTGAATATCTTCTGCTTTCGTTCCGCCAGCTCAATGGCTGCCTTCCAAAGCAAGGGAAAATGTCCGAACAGCTAAAGCTTGCCTTGTTTCTGGGTCAAGCAAATATGGCTTGCTGGATGTCATCATTTGATGCAAAACGCTTCCCTGTTTCGCTCTGTCATGAAGCTCAGTGCTCTTTCATGTTTTCCCAAAAAGACGTCTTAAAAGACATGTCCTGTGCTTCTCCGGCCTTGTGCTTCTCGTCCTCGGCCGCACGGATCTGCGCTCGCAGCACCTGGACCAAATGTGTCGAGAGGTGAACGAAACGCCCTAAGCGATAGCCTAGAAACCGACTAACAAAGCGTAAGATAGTGTCTTCTTGTTACTAGTAGCTACTTGCTCCTAGTACGGCCAGGAGCCCCTAGTAGCGATGCCCTTTGCTCCTAGTATCTTCTTGTTACTAGACCTCAGAGCTTTGTGTCTTGAAGATAAACCTAAAAGCCATGGCGAACCTAAACGCGAATGTCTTAAAGATAATCTCATGTCTTAAAACGAAGCGCTGGCACTGCTGGCGCTGCACTCAACAAGCGAATATATGACATCTCTGGTCAAAGACCGTCTCTCATGTCTCTCAAGTAGCTCCCGATCACTTCCCCCGGAGCCTCTGTATGGACTTCGATTTCTTTCTCTCTTTCCTGCGCAATGGAAGGTCGCCCACTGGTGCTGCAGCGTGTAGCAAGTGGACCAAGAATAGAACATCATCCATGGTCGTATCACCGACATCAGAGTCCTCCATGCTGATCTGAAGCTGCTGCTTTCGGTTCTCTAAACTGTACCTACACACATTCAGCTGGAATTCTTGGCCAATTGAACAAGAAACACTTGAAAACCTGAAGTTTTACTAGACCACGCAGAAATCTACTAAGTGATGTTGACACACTTGGCTTGTCACCAAGAATGCACGAGCGAGGGCACAAATTCTCCGTCTTCTGCGTCAGCTGCTGCTTCAACCGCTTGACCTGGATCTGACATTCTGCATCTACTTGTATTTCACAATTGTCTCTACTTCTTTGGAGGAGAGCAGAGCACCAGTCCAAGAAACCTTGCTGTTGGAAACCATTTACAGCTTCAATTAGCAAAGTTTGTGAGATGATTCACTTCCACCAGTCTGGCCTCCAGTTTCAGGATGTCATGCTGCATCAAGGATTCCTCCTTGTCCTGCATTGAATTTAGGTCAGGGCTCCAGTGCCCCAGGCCGTGCTACTAGGTGCTTCTTGTTCCTGGCAGTAAGGCCAGGAGCTACTAGTAGCGTCCGATCGCTCCGTTCGTAGCGATGCCCTTTGCTACTAGTAGCGTCCTTGTTCCTAGTAGTAAGGCCAGGCCGTTTTTTGAATGACTCCTAAGGATCGGAGATTTGCTAAGCATGCACTTGATGCAAGGTCTGCTCGGTCCCTCGTGTGCTGTTGCCTCCCTGAACGACAATGAACAATGGTGTTGGAACAGGTGCGGCTTTCTCAAAACCTTCTTCCACTCTGTCTCTCTACTATCTGTCCTTCACCACTTTTGAGACAGCACCTTGGCATTCAAGAAGAAGATAGAACGGCTCGAGCCAAATGCAGAACAACAATGCTCCCCAAGTAGCTAGGAATCATTTGTACTAGTGGAATTCAAGGCACGATTCATGATGGTGTTTTGGAGCTCAAGCTCTTCCATGGTGGTCTTCATGGCCTGCAAGACAACCACGTTTCCCATGGATTTGTCTCAGAAAGCTCTTGTTCCTAGTATCTTGTTCCTAGTAGTAAGGCCAGGAGCCCCTAGTAGCTTCTTGTTCCGACTAATAAGGCCAGGAGCCCCTAGTAGCTTCTTGTTGCTAATAATAATGCCAGGAGCCCCTAGTAGCTTCTTGTTCCTAGTAGTAAGGTCGAGATCTGTCAAGGAATCCAGTGCCTCGCAGTCCCTCTTCACGTTCGTGAGGTTTCTCTGGGAGTTCTTCAGCTCAGCATCCTGACAGTCACTGCCGCACAAACATGCCAGGTTATTTCATTTCAAACGGATCTACTGGGAAGTGAACTTCACCGAAACAGGAAATCACGAAACCAACCTGTCGCTTGATCTGTGCATTCAGGATGGCGTGCAGACTCTTTTGCTCGTCCAGCTGCTTGTCTAACTGCTCCACCTCACATCTCAACCCAGTGTTCCAAACAAATTTGTCACCATTGTCCAAAGATAAATGCAACCACAAGAAACAAAAATCACAAAGACCGTCTGTTTCTCTTCAAAAGACGAAGAAAGAACTGAAGACAAACAGAAACAAGAGCATGTTGTTCATGTGTTGTCCTTTCTTTCTCTTCTTTCTCGGCCTTTCGATTGTGCTCTTCCTTCTCTTCAATGGTCCGCTCCCCTGAGACCCGTGCCACCTGACCAATTGTGAACAACAATGGTACTAGTAGCGATGCCCTTGTTACTACTGGTAAGGCACTTGTTACTAGTAGCGATGCAATTGTTACTAGTAGCCTCTAGCTACTAGCAGCACTGCACTTGTTACTAGTAGCGATGCACGTGCTACTTATTATGCTCTTGCGTTTTCTTTTCTGTCCTTTCTTTCGTTCTTTCTTTAGACTTTGGGACTTTCTTTTTTTTGGGATTCATGGTCAACAACGGCGACTCCAGAGCAATCCAATGTCGCTCGTCACGAAACGCACCTTGCGCTGCATGAGCTGGGACTGGAAGTCAACAGCATAAAGCAGCTCCTTGCAAATCCAAATCCAATAAGACTCAAAGAGGCAAAGACATGCAAAGACTTCTGGAGAAAGTTATCATAAAAGGTTACTCTTTTGAAGCTCAAAGCGCAATATGCTCCTGTTGACGCTGGCGCTCTTGATCCAGCTTGCTGATCTGGAGCTGCAGGTTTTTGATGGCGGACCTCAGAGCAAGAACTTCAAAACAGCACCCTTTTTCTGCAAAACCAGCCATAGAGCCCTGCGAACAGTACAGTGTAAGCCTTAGCACTGGGCTGTGACCCACTGATAGCTCCAAGAGTTGTGGCCTTTGACAAAAATTGCATGCAGCGAAACACGTAGCGAAACACCAGCGCTGCGCAACCGACACGTTTCTTTCATCTTAGAATCTCTGGACCAGCTACTTGTCACTACCATGCATATATAGTGATGTCGCTATGCCCAAAGATTATGAGCCCGTTTGCCTCCTCCGCTCGAAGCCTATACAGCTCTTGGCTCTCTTTGTAGTGGCTTTCCTGGCGGTGCAGAATATGAGAATCGAGAACGAAGCCAACGAGATGGTCGAACACCCGGCCTTTGCAGCCTTCATCTCCTTTTCGACCATCTTCCTTAGGCCATGAAGACTCAGATCTTTTTTGTTTAAGAAAGCAACGCAACCGTGTTCAAGACTCTTGAGCATTGCAGGCTCTTCTCAAACATTGAACTGAGGGTCAAACCAATTTTAATTGAAGGACAAATAGCAGAATACTTTGTTTTTGATATTCAATCGAAGCCTTTCAAATCTTTCCTTGCAAGCCCAGCTTCATGTTGTTGAGCATGTCTTGCCTGGCTTTCTCTGCATCTTGGCCTGCCCCCAGAGCACACCACTTGGATGTGGCATCAAAACCGAAACTTCCTTTCCTGCATTCTGTCGCTTTCAACTGAGCAACGAACTCATTTGCTCTTTGCTTCTTCTGGTCTGTTGGTGCTCTTGAAGAGCCTTCTTGTGTCCATCCAGGCTTTTGTATGCCTGGTCGTGCCTGGCATCTTTCCAAGACCATGGCCGCAATGCCAAAAGAATCCTTTGTGAGGTTTCCTCGAGATTCCTCCCTAACTAAAAGCTTGCTGCCCCCACTTCTCTTTACGTTGCTCCAGCCGCTTTGCACCAACCTGCACTTAGAAGGCAAGCTTTTGAAGCGTGACAGAACGTGCATAGTCCAAGCCCGTGAAATAGAAACGATCCCGATTCTACACTGGTTCTGAATTTGAGAGGTTCGTGTGCGCCTCGTGCTGATTCTGCGTGTTGAGTTTCTCCGAGATGCAAGCATTCAGCTGGTTTTTCATCACTTCGACCTGAAGATCAAGGACGACGTGGGAAAGTTGTGCAGGACGACGACGCCTCAACATCTTAAGTGCACTTGCCTCATCCTTGAAGCCAGTGAGGGATGTCTTTGCTTCCTGCGGGAAGGAATCGAAAGGAATGGAAAGGAATCAAGTGATCCACAAGACCCTCCAAGTGTTTGTGTCGGCATAAGTAATAAGAGGGGTAGCAAGTGGTAAGTCCAAGACCCAAGGCTAGCTTGCGCTAAACGGACAATCACAGAGGCAGATTGTATATAAACCCTGTCCATGTAGTCCATTCGCATGCGAACAAGTTGTCGATCCTTTGTTGCAGGACATGTATATAATGTGCATGGCAATGTGCATCGCAAAGGTAACCCTTGCTTTTTGAAGACCGTTTTAGACTCAGCAATGGTCGGACTCGTAAGGTACTAGGATCACGGCTGTCTGTTGGATTGTCTGCTCCATCTTCTCGTTCTCTCCCTGGCGTTGTCACTTGTGGATATCAAGCCACAAAACTTCCTGGTTGTAGCATCACCATCAGAGTCAACAGTCATTCTTGCCACCTCAATGTCTTCGTGGAACTGCCGCCGTTCCTGACAAATCGATGAACAGCAAGCATACTCTGATGTGTGTCCGTGTGGTGCATGATTTGGTCCAAAACCAAAAGCACCCATTATCCGGCCTTCATTTTGTCTTCTTTGACCTTTTTCCGGGACATGTTGGCAGCGTACTCCTGGAGGCATCCATAAAAGGGATTCAAGACATACTTCACCGAGACATGCATTTGGTTGACATAGCAAGAAACAAGCTTGGACGGATTAGGACGGAGAGATATTTGCCTCTGGTCCCCTCAAAGATTCTCCAAAAGCAAAGGAAGCCGTTTGGATCCGTTCGGAGAAAAGGCGACCGCTTGTTGTTACTAGTAGCGTCCTTGTTCCTAGTAGTAAGGCCACGAGCTACTAGTAGCATCCTTGCTCCTAGCAGCGATGCCCTTGTTACTAGTATCTTCTTGTTACTAGTAGTACTGTTCGCTCTTGCACTCGAGGTGATCTCCTCTCCCAAACGCTCAAGTTGAGAATCGCGGCTCTTCATACCTTCAAGAACGTGCGTCATGTGCTCCTATTGGATGTCTTCGACACTGTACATATTGCGACGTCTCCGTTCTTAATGATTAATGCAAGCTCGAATCGTCTCTTCCTTGCATGTGAGCCTTCTGGGAATTTCAAGCTTTTAGAAGAAAGCTCGGCGAAAGAGTTGACAAAGTCCTAAACCTTCCAAGATGCTCTTGACTGATTCTTCCCACTGCTCAATGATCCTGGCAGCTTTGCAAGGTGGAACATGTAAAATGTGTACTACCCGATGCTACCGAAGACCAACCAATAGATCCACAGCAGAGCCAGGGGCACTTCTTTCTATCATCATGCAGCTGGCGGAAAAGCTCTGCCGTCTTGTCAAGCTCCATTTGTTTAGCCTCGCTTCTGACGCCATGGCAAACAGAGATGTGACCGCAACGGTGGTGTTCCCACCACTTTGACTTGCCTGGGTGTCAGTGATCAGATCATCCAGCTCCTTCCGTCTATTGGCATTTTCCACCTCACGCTCCAATCACTTCAGCTTTTGACTACCTGTGATTCTCCTGAAAAACCATCATTGAAAAATGCTCCCACAGATTTCCAGTAGCTTTGTTGGGACTCACATTATGTAGCTGAATGGGGCTCCCGCTGTGAGCTTCTCAACGGTGAGCGTAAGCTCGCGCACCTCTCGGAAGTCAATCTAGCTGCTCGGCGTCGTTCTTCAAGTCTTCTAGATTCCATTTGTGCAAAGTGCAGTTGCATGTTTGGGCAGCTTTCCATCGAATCACAAGAAAAAGGAGGCGCAGCAGGTCAGCTGTATCTTTTTCGATTGAGCATTGCAAAATGTCACTGTTCATTGTCCGCTGACACATCCCTGGTAGATGTGTCTTTGACAATGATCTGCAAATTGATCCAAAACGCCTTTGGCCTCTGGGTGAATGTCCAGATGTAGCTAAACCATCAACTGGCTCATCCAGGGAGCACATAACGGGTCCGTACAGAACTGCAAGTAGGCCTGGCACATCGGAAAGTCACTAGGAACGACGCTACTAGGAGCAAAGTGCATCGCTTCTAGTAACAAGTGCCTTACTAGTAGTAACAAGAAGCTACTAGGGGCTCCTGGCCTTACTACTAGAAATTACACCACCGTAGACCCCAAACAGTTTGTGTTTTTCAAAGTCGAAACTAGAGCTTGCGACGTCCAGAGCTGGGAGATAAATGTAAAGGATTGCAAGGCAGAGACGGACACAGCAGTACAGAGCGGGGGGACACATCTTAAGAAAGAAGTGAGAAGCCCTAACAGTAAACC